TGTTTCATTGTTGCAGGCGAGGTATTAAGTTAATAAGCCAATAAAACAAAATAATGGGGTGAGATGCAATTAGATGAGATGCAAGAAACAACAGTTGGTTAATTCCTCTAACTCAGCTGTCCTCCTTCTTCTACACATCAAAACATCTGCCAATAATGATACTGTAGTACAGGCAGTCCTTATTCACAACCATTCATTTAGTGTTCATCTAAAGTTACAATAGCACGGAAAAAAGTTGTTTATGACTGATTTTCACACTTACAACCATTGCCGCATCCCCATGGTCACATGATCAAAATTCAGTTGCTTGGCAACTGGCATGTATTTATAGTTGCAGTGTCCCAGGGTCAAGTCACCTTTTGTGACTTTCCCAGCTGGCTTCTGACAAGCAAAGTTAGTGGGAGAAGCCGGATTTATTTAATAACTCCATGATTCCCTTAACAACTGCAGTGATTCAATTAACTGCTGTAAAAAAAATGTTGTAAAATGGGGCATGACTCACTTAACAATTGTCTTGCTTAGCAACAGAAATGTTGGGCTTAATAATTGTGGTCGTAAATCGAGGACTACCTATACATATGTGGTGGGTCTGATTGGATTACTCTACCATATCTACACTCATTCATTTGACTCCTCCTATATCCCATTTTCTTCTTATCTAAGTCGAGCAAAGTTTTTGTTTTGTAAAAGAAATAAAACAGATTAGAGTCCTGAAGCGAGCTGAGTCACAAGCAGTGCTATACTTAGAATATTTTGCTCTTCTTTATCTTTCTTTGTCTACAGACTTTGATCCAAGAGGCTGAGCTTGATTACTTGCTTGCAGATATTTCATCACCGGACTAGGTAATATAATCTTCAAACTGGGATTCCCTAGTTCAATCCGGAACTACATATATTCTCTTCTACTGAAATTGTACATAATTTGCAATTGCTATAAGACAATGATTTCATGAAGAAAAATAAACCATTTTAACAGCAGTACAACTATGGATTAAGTAATTAAGCTGCCTTACTCCAAGGAGACAAGTTATTATTAGGAACATGGCATTCTCCACCCAAAAATAAAAATTAGCCAAGGCATACTGGCCCTGGTTAGGTGAATGTAGAAAAAGGTCTTTTTAAACCCAAGCTGACATCTTGAAATGTTTTTTTTTAAGGATATTCAAAAGTATGAAGCACCTGAATCAGAAATGTTAGCCTGTATTGAGTCACACATTGGTAAAGTCAGCCAACATAATTTAAATATAACATTTTAAGTAACAATAACTATTGTTATGTCCGTCGTGGAAAGAGAGACTCGGAGCCAGTGACTTGGTTTCAGCTCTTTATTTAGTTCCCGAGATTGGCTCGGCTCCAAAGGAAAAGCGGCGGCTTTTATTCCTTGGCTGCGGCGGCCGCGGCCAATGGCACCGCTTTGAATCTCCCGCGATTAGTTTCCACCAATCGCGGGAGATTCGCGGCGGGCCAATCCGTGCGGCTTGCTCGGCCAATCAGCTCGCCGTGCGTCTTGACCAATCACCGTGCGGCGTTTACAAGTATGTTAATGACTGTACAGAACAACTATATATTTAGCATTTCTCCTGTTTATTCAGGGAGTTTCTGGGAGCACATCTGCTATGTTTTCTACCTTTGTAACTTTGCATCAATCCCATCAGATAAATCAGATTGAAAAGATGCTAAATGGTCAGGCGAGAAGTTGAGGTTAAAATTTGCACCCAAAGTTTTTTTTTACTCCCAATGTGACTCTCCATCAATTAAATGTTGCTCTTCCTTCTTCATTTTGTTCTTGCAGAATTTACACTTCATCCAACAAAATTAGAGCATTACACAGTGTTGCTTTCACTTCCCTTCAAACCTTAATTTCCACCTCCTGGGTATAGTGTTTGGTGCATATATTTTAACGCTGCTCATCTCATTATTACTGGGAGTCTGATCAATCAAACACTGTCAGCTGCATGGCTGATTAAAAAAAATGCATTTAAGCATATCCCGCTCTTTCTTTCCACCAGCTTGCAGATAATAAGTGAATAGAGAAAAATGCTGAAATCAAGGGATTCCCAGAATCCTGTTTTATTTTTGTTTTCCTGCCTGGATATTATTTGAATTTTGCTGCACTTCAGAATCGGCAGCATCTTCATAATACACCTTGTTCATTGCCCCCCCCCCCCCAAAAAAAGTCCTCCTATGCTGAGAATGGGAAAACATCCTTTGAGAACAGAAGGACAAGGAAGAGAAAATTGAATTATCTTCTTGATGCAATAAACAATTGAGTGGGTAGGGCACCTTTCCTAGCCTAAAACCCTATAGATCAGGGGTGTCAAACTCACAGGCCAAGCGGTCATCATGTGACATATCATGTGACATATGACTTTTTCCCCCCTTCGCTAAACCAGAGGTGGATGTGGCCACATGACGCATCAGATCTACAGGCCGTGAGTTTGACAGCCCTGCTGTAGATGTACAGATAATCCTCAATCTACAACCATGTTTAGTGACCATCAAAAGTTATAGCAGCACAGAAAAAAAGTGTCTTATTGTTCTGACCCAGCCTTAGCAGAAGCAAGAAACAGACTCCTTGTCACACAAAAAAACAACCTCTTTATTTCCCTCTTGTGAATGAATTCCATTCACCCACCAAAAAGTCCAGGCAATAGTCCTTCAAAGAGTTAACAGCAGCAACAGACCTTATCGGTTCCTTGCAATAATTGCAAGGCTGTGAGTTCCCAGCTGAAAAGGCTGCAAATTAAGTTCTAGCAAGCAGTCTCTCTGTGGCACGAAACACAATGAGCAAAATATTCAGAAACAGGAACTGTTGTCTCCTATGACAAACACTCCCCTTTCCTTCTATTTATTTCCCAGCCAGGGAGGGGCCATTCATCATCAATGTCAGTGGTGGGATTCAAATTTTTTTTACCACCGGTTCTGTGGGCGTGGCTTGGTGGGCGTGGCAGGGGAAGGATACTGTAAAATCTCCAGTCAGAGATGGTATTTGCCGGTTCTACGAACTACTCAAAATTTCTGCTACTGGTTCTCCAGAACTGGTCAGAACCTGCTGAATACCACCTTTGGTCCACATGTTCTTTGCTTCCCGAGTCAACTCCTTGACCTCAGTTGTTCCCCTCTCCTAACAGCTCTGCACTTACGTGCATCTGGAACAGGACCCAGCTGTTCTTCCTCCTCATTCATATCAGCCTCCAAAGGCAGCTGCCTCTCCAGTGGCTGGGAAATGGATGACCTTGGCTCTATCTCTGCATCTGACATAAAGCATCCATCAGAGCCTTCCCCAGACTCCAGAACTGGCCCAAGTTCCTTCCCAACCTCCTCATCATCCAATTCTGCCTCCTGTTCCGCTGGTGGGCCACAACACTTATGACCAGTCTTCATATTTATGACCATCATGCCATTCCCACAGTCATGTGATCAAATGTGACTTGGCAGAGTTGGGTGCTTGGCATCCAACATTTATGATAGTTACAGCACCCTGGAGTCATGTGATCACCATTTGTGACTTTCCCAGCCAATTTTCAACACCAAAGTCAATGGGGAAAACTGGCCTTGCTTAACCATGTGCTTCACTTAACTAGTGATTCACTTAACAACCATGGCAAAAAAAAAAGGTTGTACAATTGTAATACAGTGCTTGAGAGATGGGTCTTTATCCTATCTAATTTTGCCAGATGGATATAGCACTTTGGATCAGCAGGATAGGGCAGAGCAGGCAATATCTTTATCATATTTTAATTACTCCGATGTCCTGTCTTGTGCAACACACTGACCCAGAAATTAACCAGAAAGGCTGGGTTTACACACAGAACTGCTTATTAAATGAAAACATAACTGGGTTGTGCTTCAGAGACTCGCATAACCCAGTCACTGATTACAGTTAAAAAGCAGAAACTTTCCCACCTGTTCCCATTTCCACAATTAATCTACAGTTGGGATGGGGCTACCAAAAGTGGTTTGGAAAACTGACGATCACTGGATGTAAGATAGACAGCAAACTCTTCTCTCTTTTACCATTTAGTGACTATCTTGATTTGGAAGTTTGTTTGCCTTTGTCACCAGAAAGTCAACATGGATGTGATTATATGATTGCAAGTAGCTGAGTCTGACTGCAAGAAGATGAAATCTTTTTTTTTTGGGGGGGGGGGGGGGTTGTGGGCTTACTCTAGCCTCTCTTCTTCTGGCCTTTAACCCTCTTTATTCATCTGCTTTTAAAGGATAAGCAGTGGGCGTCACTGCCTTGCAATTCTTTGGGGCCCGTTGAGTGGGATCCAGGAAATGGGATGCTACTCAGGCGTTGCAACATCCTGCCTGCATTTTGCATAAGAGATTAATCTTGATGAGTTTTTAATTTTGCTCAGATGTTTGTGTTTCTTTCCTTTGCGGGAAGCCTATTGTGCGTAACCTACTGTGATTAGCTCACGGTCTCTTGTGCAACCTTCTCAAGGGATTTGGGTTAACTCAGGTTCCACTACTGTAATCAAGGTCTTCAGCCAGGGACAACTTAGCACAGCTTGAGTGTCTGGATGACCCACTGACCCGCTAACCCCCAAAGCAGCCACCCTTATATTAACTCAGCCTAGGGCAAAACACAGACACACACACCAACACACTCACTAACACACTCACTCCCTTTATAGCCCAGCGTGTGGTGGCGAACCTAGGGGAAAGAGAATGAGGGGGGGGGATGAAAGAGGGAGGGGGAGGGAGGGGGGAGGGAGGGAAGGGGAGAGGGAATGAGAGAAATGGAGGGGGGAGGGAGAGAGAGCGAGTAAGCGAGCACCACCACCTTGGAAGAAGAAGAAGAAGAAGAAGAAGAAGAAGAAGAAGAAGAAGAAGCGCGCGGCGGGGGAGGGGGTTCGTCTTGCATTAAGTATCGACCTCCCCCTCCCTCAATTTCGCGAGGTCGGAGCAGGAGGCAGCGGCCTTTCCCGGCGCGCCTTGTTTCCTTGGAGCACTCCGCCCCCCCCCCACTTCTGCCCGCCTCCTCCTCCTCCTCCTCCTCTCGGAGTCTCAGGGCTGCTGACTCAGCCGGAGGGAAAACTCAAAGGGCGCTTCGCCGCCCGGCTTGCCCGCCTCCCCGGGGATGTTGCCCGGGAGCCCGCTCTGTTCGCAGCTCTTGTCCGAAGCCGCCTGGCTCTGAAGGGGACGCGCGGAGCGGTCGCGGGAGACTTTTCCCGCCAGCGCCGGGGACAAAGCGGAGCGAAGTTGCCCTCGGGTTTTCTCCTCGTCCTCAGCCGGGAACCCCAGTCACCATGACAGCCATAGCAGCGCAGGTAACTTGGGGACAGCGGGGGAGCAGGCCGCGTCCTGAGGGGGCGGAAGGGGCCCTCTTTGGGACCCGGGAACGAGATTTGGTGGGAGGGGGGGGACAGGAGGGGGAAAGGGGGGGGTCCCATCCCTGGAAGCCTTGTGCCGGCCGGTCCTTTGTTCTCCCTGGTACAATGTTCGCTCTTCGCCCTAAAAAACGGAGCGGTTCCTCTGGGTCTGGGCGATCGGCGGATTCACACCTGTTGCTCTTTGTAAATTTTCTCTCGAAACGCGGAGTAGGTAGGGGTGGGTGGGGAAAGAGAGTCCTTCCGTCCCAAAATCGTAAATTCCCGACCGTTGCATTTTGTTTTGACTTTTACACGGGGCTTCCCTAACCGAGCGCTCAAATAGTGGAAAGTTGAAAATCTTTTATCATGCGATTTATCCTCTCTCCCCGCTGGCCCCGAAGTTGACTTTTAAATCTGATTTACTACCGCCCAGGGATGATCTCTCTCTCTCTCTCTCTCTCTCTCTCTCTGGCGAATGGGTTGCAGGGTTTAGGGCTTGGGGAGAAGGGGTGGCGGTGAGACACGATTGAAGATGGGGCTTCAAGTAAAAGAGTGCCGGTGCTCGCTCGCTCTGGTTCCACACATGGTTCAAACTGTCTGGCCATCCCATCAGCTGGGCGACTCTCCCAAAAGTGAACCGAATGAGATTAAAAAAAAAAAAAAGATGGGTGTGATGGGAGAAGCTGGCAAAAGAAAGACTAAATTTCACAAAAAAGAAAGCAGATCTGCTTGGAAGAAAATCTTCCTGGAAAAAAGACACACACACACACACACACACACACACACACACAGAGAGAGAGAGAGAGAGAGAGATGTTGTTTAAGGGTCCATTCTTAACCACCACCTCCTAGACCCAGGGCAGAACAATTAAGGCAAACAAAAGTAGGCATCCTCTCTTTCAAGATGGAAGGTCATGTGGTTTAGAAAGAAGCCTTTACACAGCCTGCCCTATGCTTCCCAGGGCTTACAAAAGACAAGACAGATGCAGCATGGGGGGGCTGGAAGGGGGGGGGAAACCACAGAATCACAGATACCATCAACCTATATGCATCAGCCTGATAATATTCTGAGGGGGATTCAAATAAAGACATGCAAATCCAGCTAGTGGGGTGAGGAGAAGCATATTGTGTGCAAAGTGAAATGTTTCCAACACAACAGAAGGTTGGAAAGAAATTTTGTAGGAGGATTCAGGACCCTCTGCTCATCCAGAGGATATCTGTCCAAATATTGAACAGACTTAGACTACATCTAAGAGGGGAAGCCAATAAAAGGTGGAGTTTGAAAATGGGCCAGAGTTGGCCAAAGACTGTAAAGAAAAATATTTCAGGGGAGGAAAAAAACTGCCTGTGCATCCCTGGGTATTTTCACAGATTGCAGCTAACTATTGCATTCTAAGCCGTTTTTCCTTTTCGCCATTTTTCCTTTTCGCCTGGTCGTGTGAGCAGAATATCAGCACACACACACACACATGAAGACATTACACAAACACAGACAAGAGGTAAGAAAGAAATCACACTAACCCAGAGAGATGGAACATGTTACTTCATTACACAGAAGCAAGTACAGATGCCTCCTCTAGCTATTGTTGATAAGGAGCTTGGAACAAATTAAATAAGTTATGCTCCATAATCTTTATTTTTTTTAGGGGTGAGGGCATCCAAGATCCAAAGTAGCTCAACTTGCTCAATTTCCTTCTTTTTTTCTTAGAATGCAATGAGTTGTTTACAAGGATCAGCAAATCTGTCTCTTCCTGGCATGTTGTTACTGATGTTTCAGCAAAACTAGCTCATACACAGTTTGTACAAGAGTGGTTTTCAAAACAAAGTGCACCACGGGAATGACAATTACCAGAAACGGAAATCTGGGGGAACAGTTCTTGGTCAATACTTTTAGAGCTAAACTTCTCAGAAATGGGACAGTGCTGATTAACTTGAGATATATTTCTCTAATCATCTTTAGCACTTGTGTATATTAGAATTTTCAATACCTCTTAATCAGAGGTGTCAAACTCGCAGCCCACGAGCCAGATGCATCATGCACTGGCCCCATCCCCACTCCTGGTTTAGCGAAGAGGGGAAATGTCGCGATACGTCACGTGACAACGACATGACGGTGTGAGTTTGGCACCCCTGCTTTAAATGCAAGGATAATAAATCATTAGTCCTCCAAATATTGCTGGCCCAAACATTCCTCATAATTGACCATGATGATTGGGAATTGGGGAAGTTTTAATTGAGCAATATCTGGAGAGCTACTGACTAACAATTTTGCTATAGTGTACTGCTTATATTTTGTCCAAAGTGAAATGCACACACACTCATCTCTTTTTCTTATTTTTTTGACAACATTTATATGTATTAAAAAAATTCTTCTGTGCAAAGTTTGGTCATTGCTTGCCAAATACTGCTGCTTGTTTCTCTTGGTCTTCTGTTATCTTTTTTTCACCCACCTAAGTCTATCAGATATTTAGCTCAGTTAAGAATCTGTTTGGTATCTTCTCCTCAGCCCATGTTCACATGGCATGTTTAACTGGGTCAAAGAGGGTATTAGGTGGTCATGTGAACACCATAGCCCAGTGAAATAAACCTCAGTCAATGTTAATGCCAAGAATTAATTTTTGCTGGAAATAAGTCCCAAGTTGTTCAAAGCTAAACCCCCCCCCCCCTTAGCTATCTGAAGAAGCTAAGGGAAAAAAAGCAGAGGAGGAGAAGAAAGGTAAGCCCCCACAAATTTGTTAGGTGATCATTCGCTTAAAAAAAAAAAAAAAAGATAAGCTGGATGACTTCAGAAATGTCCGCCACGAGAGCATCCATGATCAAGTGGTGCTTGATGTGGAATGAATTGATTGCCTACTGAGCAGCTGACACAGAAGTGTCACCCATATAGATCTTGCAAAGATTCCTTATCCTTGTAAAGCCTTCTATTGCTTCATGTCTCCAGGCTGATAATTCCAGCACATCTCTTCGTGTCACCATTACTCTCTACAACTCTATCGATCCTGGACTTCTTGAAATGTAATTCTCCCATGAGGTCCCTGATGCCAGAAACTATTTTATTTTTTTTTTAGAAAAAAAAAAACCCTTTTCCTCAAACTCACCTCTCCTGGAAAGCCTTGAGATCTTTCTTTTTCTCCCTCAATACTGTTACGTCATGAGCAAAACCGCAGGACCTGGGGTGGGGTGCCTATTCTTTCCTTTCCTTTTCTGTTTTCTTCTTTTGGGGGAGGAGGGTCGTTCCCTGGCCTGCCTTTTAGACTACAGTCCTTTGGCATTAAGGTGTTTCCAGCCTGCTGCTTGTAAAAATATAAAGAATACAGGTAGTCCTCGACTTACAACCATTTGTTTAGTGACCGTTCAAAGTTACAATGGTACTGAAAAAAAGTGACTTACAACCATTTTTCCCACTTACAAGCATTGCAGCATCCCCATGGTCATGTGATCAAAATTCAGATGCTACCGGTTTGGCCTGGTTAGACCGAACCGGTAGCAATTTGCCAAATCATAGTCCAAAAAAAGCCTCGGACAATCAGCTGAGAGGAGAAAGAAGAGAAAAGCACAGGATTGGCCCTCCCAACCATCCTGTCTCAGCTGGTATGTGGAAAGCTGCACACTTGCATTAGGTGCACACTCGTGCGCATGCACAATCGCCAAACCGGTAGTGGAACAGGTAGGATCCCACTGCTGTGCTGGGGTCACGTGATCACCTTTTGTGACCTCCTGACAAGCAAAGTCAACAGGAAGCCAAATTCATTTCACAACCATGCTACTGACATGCAGGGATTCATGTAACAATGGTGGCAAGGAAGGACATAACATGAAAAACCAATGCCTGTCTTGCTTAGCCGTGGAAATTGGGGGCTTGATTGTGGTCGTAAGTCGAGGACTACCTATACAACAAAGCGAGTACGGTATTACGCAGATGAGGTAAAGCAACAATGGCTATGGTTTCGTGCTTTATATTTGTCCCTTATGGTTAACTACTTTTTTAATGCCAGATAAACATCAAGAGCTAGCACTGCATCGTGGTCAAAGTGTTGGGCCAGAACTAAAGGAAGCCCAGGTTCTACTATTTTCTAGCCAAAGAAACCTATTGGGTGACTCTGCATCTGCCACTGTCTCTCAGCTCAACCTACCTCACAAAGTAACTCTGATGGGTTAAAAATGAAGGTAGTCCTACTGTAAGTGAAATATACCATATTTTTTGGACTATCAGACAGACTTCCCCACACACACACACACAAAATGGTGGAAATGTCTGTGCATCTCATAGAGCGAATACGGGCCCATTTTTGGCCTCCACAGGCCTCTGCAGATCCCGTTTTTGCCCTCCTCGGCATCCAGAAGCACTCTGCAGGCCCCGGGAAGGACAAAAATGGGACTTGTGGAGGCCTCCGGAGGCCAAAAGTGGGCAGATTTTTGGCCTGCAGAGTGCTTCTGGACACCGGGGAGGGCAAAAACGCGATGCGCAGTGGCCAAAAACCTATTTTTTTTCTTGTTTTCCTCCTCTAAACCTAGGTGCGCCTTATGGTCCCATGCATCTTATAGTCCAAAAAATATGGTACATAGTTAGAGGACACCCAGTTGGTTGCCCTTGTGGTGCATACATAAGATAGTCAAAACAAGCTCTTTCTGGGACTCCGGAATATGCTAAGGTTATTTCCCCAAGAGGTGAAAGTAGAACCTTGATATTGTTATGATGAGGAAAGATACAGTAAAGGCAAAACATGTCCAATCCTGCAGCATTATTTCCTGTTGTTCCCTTTTTAGCGGGGGGGAGGGGGGAGGAGGGAAGCAGCACATGGACAAAGTGAGTTGTATTGTGCCAACTCTCTTCTTCCCTCTCTTCTTCCCCTCTCTTCTTCGCCTCCATTCCATTATTCTTCCTCAAGGATGTAGGGGGTGTCCTGCATGGGCCAGGCAGATTAAGTCTGTGGGAGTCGAGCTAGAATGTTTGCTTGGGATATTTGTAGCACAGTCTTAAGCCAAATAGTGCTATCTAGTTAATCAGAAATGCTTAGGTAAATAAATCTGTGCTATTCATAGAAAATTTAAAAGCCTATTTTGTAATGGGGTGGGGTGGGGGTTTCCTGTGAATGTCAAGCATCCATCTCAACTCTTATTTGCAAAATGCATACTGCTAGCTATATCCGCTGGTATTAATATCTGTATCTTGAGACTTCTTTGAATAGTTTGCCAGTCAGGATGTGTGTACAAACATTTCAAAGAAGGAGCTACTGTTTTGGTTTCATTTCCTTGGGAATGACAAATTACGGATAATGTTCTTTATTTCCAAATATTACATTTCCATAGAAAAACTAACGGAACATTTACTAGGCTTTTTATTTTATAGGATTCATGAAATACATCCATATTGTTTATTATGCATTCTTCCCAAGGCACTTTCGGATCAATTGTGTATAAATGGTCATTAAAGTATATTTAATTTGACTTCACTTGATGGTATTAATTGGCCTGCTAAAAGTCATGGTTTGTTTATTGTTTAAAAGAGATCCAGTATGGTAACATTATACAACCCTCAGTCTGTTTTCAGAAACTTTGCAGGTGAGCAGTTTAGATCTTCCACTAAGAACAGCCTGCCCTGCCACCCTAAGGCAGGGGTCTCCAACCTTGGCAACTTTAAGACTTGTGGACTTCAACTCCCAGAATTCCTCAGCCA